TGAACATAGTGGATTTCGGTTTCGGATCCGTAATTTTTTTAGCAAACAAATTAAAATGATGATATTGAGAAAATTAACATAGTGAATTTTGCTGTCGGATCCATAATTTTGTTATGTATAATACAATATGTTTTATGTATAATACAAAATACAATTGAAAAATACTTTAGTTCATAAGATATATATACAATCTATAATATTATATCACACTATAAAAAAGTAAGAAGAATATAATATTTTCAATTATTTTTCTTGTCAACCAATTAAATTTTAATAAGATAGAAAAGATAATTTACAAAACCGCATAATATTTCAAATTTAAAAGGTTTTGAATTAATGTCTTTGATTTGATTTTTTTCGTATAAAACTCCAATGTTTGAACAAAAAATTATAAGAAAATTGTAAAGAAACACTACCATAGACAAACAAAAAAAGAATCTACCGAAGTTAAGAGACGAAACCACTAAAATTGTGAAAAGAACCAGAAACTTAAACATTTAATTTATGGAAGAATATAGAATTCAAAGATTTTAAAGTATCAAATGATATTCAAATATGCATAGAAACTTGTAGAACTATTTTATAAAATGAACAAAAAAAAATCTTAAAAATCTAATATCATTTTTGTTTGTTTGTTAAAGTAGATCTAATATCGGTGACAAAAAAAAAAAGAAGGTAGATCTAATATCATTGTAATGACTTTCGTATTAATATTGTTCGATGTCTATGGATTCATTTTTCTCTACACATGTGACAGAATGACTTTATTTTTAGCGAATTGTCTTTCTAATCAATGATTAGATATTTTTTCCATTCTTTTGAAAGCTTTATATTTGCATGTTAAAATTTCTAATATGGTTGTACGGTCATGAGATGGCATTTTTTGTTTGTTTGCTTATGCTTTTATGATTTTATCCATTTATGAGACTACCCAGCCAACTTACGCAAAACTTTCTTTATTCCCAAAATACATCCTATATTATAAATTTGATATCATGATTGGCTAAACTAATCCAACGACGTACCTAGAAGTAGAACCATTTGATTTCAATTTGTACCTACATTTTTATAATTCATGATTGTGTTAAATCTCAATTCATGATTGTGTTAAATCTCATACATACATTTTTAGCATTGATTGTTTTAAATATCATTTTAGTTATATACCTAACCAAAGTTAAAGCAATATTTAGTTTGCCTTATTTTACTATCTGCATCCTTTAAAGATCTGTTTACAAATAATCTACATAAGTGATGTGTTTAGTACACTGGGCTGATGATAATCTACAAACTTTTTTGTTTTTGTTTGGGTCACAAAACAATGCAAATCAGATTAAAGTACCGAAAATGAGTTGGAGATGCAGAGACAAATTTAAAAAGTTGTGCTGCAACTTGCAACTCAATCGTTATTATAAAAAGCTCAAATTATATATGTGTGTGTGTTTTACGTAAGTAGAGAGTTTGATTTTGATGATTGGGAACTATTTAGAGAAGGTTACAAATTCCAAAGTTTAACAGAATTCATGCATAAAGAAAATGAAATGAAAATCTACGAAACAGCATGCGAAAGCCGTTGCCGGAGAAAGGAGGTGGTTTCAGAGAAATGGTGGGAAGAAGAAGCCGATAGCTTTTTCCTCCCTTGGTTTTCTTCTTCGGCTACTACATCAGCGCGAACACGTAACTGCATGTCGCACATACCTGTTTTCAATCCTTTGAGCCAAGAGTATAAATGCAAACAATGGAGTTTTCTTATATCCGCTTCATCCACCTGTATGTTTAAGCTTTGGCTTTGATCTATGTAGCATCCACGATCAATAGCCATGTCGAGCAAGTATAATAGTCTCAATTCCCACACAGTTCTGTACGATAAAAACAAAATTAAAAATTCTGTGATCATGAGAGAAGCGTATACAAAATAAACCCTTTTATCATAAAAATCCGAACTGAAAGTCGAGAAAGATAAGAAAATTTCCACATTACATACCTGTAGATTTGTCTCAAATCTTCAGGTATCTCTGATACATTTGCCACAAATCCATTCCTATAAATGATTTTGTTTTTCAGAGCTTGAGTCCAAATTCCCATCTCAATTAAGTCATGAAGAAGATGTTTATTCACCATTACGATGGATTCACCACTGGAAAAAAAACAAGGAAACACATTGAGTAAGCTAAAAATGTACATTGCCTGCAAATGATTCAATCACACACCTCAAGTCTCTGTGGCTGTAAAGGTTTGATGTATATGGCTCACAACATTCGTTGTTCCCGAGAATCTGACTGGTTGAGGCAGTAGGCATCAGTGCTACTAAAAGAGAGTTCCTCACTCCATTCTTTGATAACATGTCCCTAATCAAATCCCAGTCCCAGCGGGTCGATGGAGTTACATTCCACATGTCTGGTTGAAGAATCCCCTAGAGAATCATCGCAAAAAAGTCAACCACACAATCCACAACAGGACATCATCAAGTGTAGTCATAGGAATAATATAATGAAATAATTGCGGGATGAGATGTATATACCTTGCTCACGGGACTTCCTTTGTATGTCTCGTACGCACCATCTCTTGCAGCAAGCTCTGAAGATGCTTTGAGTGCATGGTAGTATATAGTTTCAAATATATCCTTATTCAGTTGTCCGGCCTGAGTAACAGATCAAACTGCTTATTAGAACAGATTAAGCAAAATTACTTCCATAAAGAATTATGATCATTACGTAATACAAGTCTACCTCTGGAGAGTCAAATGGCATTCCAAGGAGGATAAATGCATCTGCAAGACCTTGTACACCAATACCAATAGGTCGATGACGCATGTTTGAAGTTCTTGCAGTCTCCACAGGATATTGATTAACATCAATTATCTTATCTAAATCAATCGTAACAGCAGCAGTTACCTTGACACAAAAACACAAATCAAATGTTAACATGGTATCACAAATTCCAGAGAAGATTCCGATTTCTGGTCAAATGAGGCAAGTGTTTAGTATCTATTTTACCTCGGCTAGCATGTCAAAATCAAAGTAACGATTCTTTGAGCCGAGACTGCCAACAAGCATGGATGGATGAGACTCCAATGGGACGTACTGTTGTGAGAAGAAGAATGTTAAGAGCTATACTTAAGTGACGAAGAAAAAAGCAAATTTAGCCAACCAGCAAAACTCACCTTCTCCCTTACAAATCTTGGCAAAGCAATAGATGCATGATTGCACATAGCAGTTTCTGTTGGACTAGTGTATTCAATAATTCCACCGCATAAACTGGAGGACTTTATGGTACCCATATTTTGCTGATTGCTTTTTCTGTTGCATGAATCCTACGGGTAGAGTATCCAAATCAACAGTAAGAACCAGTGGTTACATATAGCTACAGAATCAAGAAAGTTACTTACTTACTTACCTTGAAAAGCATGCATGGTCTTCCTTGTGTTTCTAGCTGGGATGTCAAGATTTCAACCCAAAGGTCTACCGCCTCAATAACCTTCTTGGCCTTTCCCTAAAGACCATGAACAAACATAACTTGTATTGAGACAACAAGACCTCAAGCTACATCAGAAGCATAGCATATACATGGTTGAAGAATGAGATTCACCTCTCTTTCATACTTGGTGTACAGTTTCTCAAATTCCTTCCCCCAACAATCTGCCAACCCCGGAGCTTCATCAGGACAAAACAGTGACCAGTGCCCATCTCTACGGAGTCTCTTCATGAAAAGATCTGGAACCCAGATAGCATAAATCAAGTCTCTAGTCCTGTGCTCCTGCTGCAATGGAAACCCGTATTTTGACGTTTGTAAGAGGCTAACTTGGAAATTACATATGCGGAGAACATGGTGAATTATATTGGTATGGCTGTGTTCTACCTTTTTGTGCTTCCTCCGGAGCTTAAGAAAGTCAAAGATGTCAGCATGCCATGGCTCCAAGTATACAGCAAAGGCTCCTTCAGCAATTACAAAATATACATGAGATGATTTACTAGACAAATGATTATCGCTAACAGTAGTTTAAAACTGAGATGTACCACTCCTCTTGCCTCCTCCTTCATCAACATAATGAGCGGTATCGTTGAATACACGCATCATTGCAACAGTACTGATGTAGCTTCCAGTTCCACGTGCATTATTAACCGAGACACCAGTACTATCATCAGAGTTGCTTATAACAGCACACTCTTTGAGTGTTTTGTATAAGCCCTCGATGTTATCATCTTTCATGCAGATAAGACAGCAGCTGCTTAACTGCCAATTCAATTATATTATCAACAGCAGATCAGCAAGTTAAGAATAAATATTCCATACATAAATTACAACATACTTGAGGCCTTGGAGTTCCTGCGTTACAGAGAGTAGGAGATGCGTGNGTGAACCATCTCTGAGACATNNAATGGTAAGNTTTGATTGCAGANTCGATATCGTCCTTGTGGATTCCAACAGCAACCCTCATAAGCATGTGTTGAGGCCTTTCAACAACTTTCCCTTGGACTTTCAAGAGGTACAATCTCTCAAGAGTTTTAAACCCAAAGTAATCATACTGAAAATCCCGGTCATAGATGATTTCACTGTCCAGGCGATTAGCGTTCTGGGATTGAAACCAAAAGGAAAACATAGTTAAGTGACACACAAGATACATCCCTCCCTAGGGCATATACCAAGAAACAGAGCTTCTGTTACCTTGCTAACTATGAAAGTCACATCATCAGCTATTAGTGAAGCCTTGGACATGTCATAAACCCTGAAAATACCGCAAAAATCCATGATCAAAGTAAATTCATAGTAAACCCTGATTATATGTTTAAACCAAACAAAAGTGCAATTCCACTCACGTCTCAGAAAATGATTTCTTAGTGTTCTTGTGAAGATTCGAGACAGCAATCCTAGCAGCAAGCTGAAAATAAAAGACCAACTCGTCGATATTATTTCTCAAAGATCATAAACCAGAAAGAAAGAAAAACTAATGTGAATACTGACGGTGGCGTAATCAGGATGGTCGCAAGACATGGCAGCAGCAGTGTCAGCAGCCAAGTCGTCGAGTTGAGTCGTGGTGACTCCATCATAGACACCGGCACAGACTTTCCGAGCAACGAGTGCGATGTCGCAATGGTCACTGCTAAGCCCATAGCTAAGCTTCTTGAGCCGTGCACTGATCTGATCAAAGCTAACGGTTTCTTCGCTTCCGTCGCGCTTCACCGCGTACATATTCTTTCTCTCAGAGTAATTATGTCGAACAGGTGGTGGGCGTTTGAACGGATATAGATCGCTGGGCATAATCTTCTTCTCCGAATGATTAGGTCGAACCGATCTTGCGTTTCAGATCTCGTTGTGATTCCTTTCCAACTTTCCCGTCAAAAGATATATGAAATACAAATTCAGGGTTTAATTTTCGTGTTTATCTCTTTGTTTGACGTCAAAAAAAAAAAAAATTTTTTTGATAAGACGAGCCAATGATAAAAGAGCACTCGGATTAATGACATGGCACACAATCTCATCGCTCAGAGAAGAACTGATCTTCTTATTGTAACATTGTTCTTACTGGTAAGGTCTGTGAGTTACTTATGAACCATCATCATTTAGATAGTAGATTGCTGGAGTATTAAATTATCTGCATTTATTTGCTTAATAAGTCCAATACTGTCAATTGTTATGAGTGACTTGGGACTTGTGATATTATAGTTTATGTTGTCAGAGTTCATCGAGTGATGTTGGTATACCAACCATCTTCCTGGCTCCTTGCTTGATTTACTAGTTAATCTGGTGGATATAATTATAGTAAACTGATTGTATATCGTGGATGCGGTAGATGACAATGGCAATGGCAATTGCAATTGAGGATGTCAGGTGGTCAACTCTTGGACTAAATCATACATGATTCTGTCTTGTCTCTACTGTACCGTGCTCTGACTGTTTGAGTTTTCTTTCTTTGGGCTCATCAGGGGAGGCAAATTCTTTTACTAGTAGCGTACCGCCATCTTCACCGTGACCTTAAACCCCCCGAGGTAATAGAACCTTAACCGTATTGTTTTAGCTTCCGTATTGCTCTCATCCTTAATGTTTCTTTCTCTGTAACCGGTTTCTTGTTTACGCCGTACGTACATATGGAACTGAGGCAGATATGTGGAGTATTGGAGTGATTGCTCATATACTTGGAAGGATTGCTAGAGGTGTTTGAACATCCAATTCATATGTTAAACCTTCAACATTTAGACGAATTGAAGAAGTTATAATACTCGTGTGATAATTTTGTATGTCAATGTTTACTTTTGTAATTATACATGTCATACTTGTCAAGGTGGGTGATCTAGAGTCTCTTCAAAAGTTTCATATAGTGTTTCAACCACACGTATAGTTTAAATTTCTTTAGAACGCTACATAACAAAGTAGTTTCACTTCCAAACCACACACAGTTTTAAAATCTATATAAGTCCACAATGGTTTTGAAATGATGTGAATTTATTAGGGGTGT